TTCGAGGGAGCAGGGGGCGGGGGTTCCGTAGGTCATGCTGACGGCTTGGCCCAGCTTCCCATTGGAGGCTGCCTGGCATCCTTCGCCAGCCAGTGGGCAGCTACCTCGTCGGACGCCTGGGTCAGGGAGACTATCAGCTCTGGCCTCTCTCTCGAATTTCTCTCCACCCCTCCAGAGAGATTTCTTCGCTGTCCCCTCTCGCGGAACAGTTCCTCCCGGCTCTTGGTGACATCGGCCATCCATCACCTATTAGACATTTGGGCCATTGAGCCGGTGCCCCAGGAGCAGCACGGACACGGCTTCTATTCACGCTTGTTCATTATTCGGAAGTCTTTGGGGGGGTGGAGAGCGATTCTGGACCTCAAATCCCCGAACCGCCGGATAGTCTACTGGCAGTTCAAGATGCAGTCCCTCCAGACCATCTTGGAGGGCATCAGGGTCAGAGATTACCTCTCGTCAATAGACCTGATGGAGGCGTATCTCCATGTCCCCATCCTCCGTGCTCACCGCAGGTTCCTCCGATTCTGCTTCTTGAACCAGTATTACCAGTACAGGGCTCTCCCATTCGGCCTTTCATCGGCCCCCAGGGTATTCACGAAATTGATGGCCGCCATCGCGGGCCACCTCAGAGCCCTACCTATCCGGATGCAGTTCTACCTGGACGACCTTCTGGTCCAGTCGGTCTTGGAGCATTTGGCTCTTCAAGATCTCACAACGACTCTCCGGGTCCTGGAGAGCCATGGATTCTCTATCAATCGGACCAAGAGCCATCTGGTCCCGACTACGCGTCTCCAGCATCTGGGTGCTGTCATCGACACGAGACAATGCAAGGTCTATCTATCCCAGGATCGCCTGTCCAGTCTGCGGTCTCTGGTCAGGGCAGTGAAGGCAGGGAGGGGCTCCTCCCTGGCGTCACTCTCCCAACTCCTGGGAAAGATGGTCTCTTGCATCGGTATAGTCCCCTGGGCCCGGCTCCACTGCAGGCATCTACAGTGGTTCCTCCTCCCTTACCAGAAACGAGGGCTGGGGTCCTCCCACCGATTTGTCCATCTTCCACCCAAAGTGCTCAGGTCCTTCGATTGGTGGAACTTGGGGGCCCTTCACCAGGGAAGGGAGTTCAGGGAGCCTCAGTGTCTGATCCTGACTACAGATGCCAGCCTTCACAGCTGGGGAGCCCACCTTTCCTCTTCCCTCGCTCAAGGTCGCTGGACTCGGGCAGATTTAGAGCACAACAGAAACTGGTTGGAGCTCCGGGCCATCCACCTGGCCCTTCGAGTCTTTGCCCACAAGGTACAGGACAGGCATGTCTTGGTCAGGACGGACAATGTGGCCGCCAAGGCCCATGTGAACCGCCTAGGAGGGACCCGCTCTCGACACCTCATGGAGGAGGCCGAGAGATTGGGCGCCTGGGCAGAGACACCTCAGATCTTTGAGGGCAGCACACATCTCAGGGGTGGAGAACTCTCAGGCGGATTGGCTAAGCAGAGCCACAGTGGACCCCGGGGAGTGGGCCCTGGACCCTGCACTCTTCGGGGAGATCACATCTCGGATGGGAGTTCCAGTCTTGGACCTTTTCGCCACACGGAACAATCGGCAGACCCAGAGGTTTTTCTCACGGTTTCTGGAACCAGGAACGGAGGCTGTGGACGCTCTGCACAGAGACTGGCCTCCCGGCCTCCTGTACGCCTTCCCTCCGCTCCCCATCATTGCCAAAGTCATCAGGAAGATGCTACAGGAGAAAGCGGAACTGCTGCTCATCGCCCCCCATTGGCCTCGCCGGCCTTGGTTCGCAGACCTGAGGGCTCTCTCGATTCGGCCTCCATGGCATCTCCCTCTGGACAGGATCGTCCTTCGTTAGGGGTCTCTTCTCCATCCGGACGCCGCATGGCTACAACTAACTGCCTGGCGATTGAGCGGCGTCTGCTGAGCTCCCGTCGTCTTCCGCCCAGAGTCGTTGCGACCATCCAGGCAGCACGTAGACCTTCAACCACTCGCATCTATGACTCCACGTGGAGGACATTTTCGTCTTGGTGCGACAGAAATTCCATTGTCTCTACGTCAGCCTCTACGGAGCAGGTGCTCATCTATCTTCAGGATCGCCTCGACTCAGGTTTGGCCCCCAACACACTCCGCAGGCAAGTAGCGGCTCTTTCTTCTATCCTTTGCTGTGGATCATAGGGTTCCCTCTCCTCCCGTCCACTTATTCGGCAATTTCTCAGAGGGGCCTCCAACCTTCGCCCGGCTCCCCTTCATAGATATCCCACTTGGGATCTACCCCGGGTTCTAGATACCCTTACTAGAGCCCCGTTTGAGCCCCTTAGGGAGGTTGGTTTGCGGTTCCTCTCATATAAGGTGGCCTTCCTCCTGGCCATTACGTCGGCCAGGAGGGTCTCTGACTTGGCTTCCCTTTCAGCTCGGGATGACCTATGTATCTTCCATCCTGACAGGGTGGTTCTCAGATTGGACCCTACCTTTCTACCCAAGATTAATTCCCCTTACCATAGGGCCCTGGAATTAGTCCTTCCCGACTTCTGCCCAAATCCTGCCCACGCTCTCGAAAGGGCGTGGCACACCCTGGACGTCAGGCAGGCCCTTCGCATCTACCTGTGACGGACCTCTTCTCTGCGCCAGATGGAAGCCCTCCTGGTTTCCTTTCAGCCATCTTCCCTAGGCAGGAAGGTTTCAGCGGCCACTCTGGGTCGTTGGATTCGGGCTACCATCACCAAGGCATACGAGGTCCTCTCCCTCCTGGTGCCTCGCCATATCACGGCTCACTCCACACGTAGTGCGGCCACTTCGGTGGCATGGGCCACTCAGGCGTCCTTAGAGGAGGTCTGCAGGGCCGCCGCCTGGGCGTCTCCCACTCCCTTTATTAGACACTATCGTCTCGATCGGTTCGCCTCTGCTGAGGCAGCCTTCGGGTGCAGGGTGCTCCAACGGGTTCATCTGGGAACTTCCCCACCAGCTCGGGCGGGTCCCTCCCTATAGGGTTCTGCTTGGGCATGTCCCAATCCTGACCACTGGAGCCAGGATCAACGGGAATGGGCGTTGACTTACCTGAATGCCTCTTCTGGTTGATCTGGATCCAGTGGTCAGCCCCACCCTGTTTGGGCCCTCGCTGGTGGGGACGGTTCTGTGGATCTCTCTTTCTTTTATCTTACAGCTCAAAGTGTCTGTCTGCGTTGTCGTCTTTCATCAGAAAGCTGGGAAGCAAGACAAAGGGGAGGAGCTTTTCAGCTATGCAGACTCAATCAATAACTGGATCATGGCATTACCCAATCCTGACCACTGGATCCAGATCAACCAGAAGAGGCGTTCAGGTAAGTCAACGCCCATTCTATAATGTTCTTGACATTGTTTTTGCCATTTTTATATTGGTGGTCATCATGCTCTACTCATGAGATGAATTAAATCCATAAATCCCCAACTTGATCATATTGTAGCTTCACTTTTTAAAATAAGTAATCATCAGTTATTATTTAAGGATAAATACATTGTTGGATAAACAGAACCCCATTTTCTCTTTCCAAATGTTCTAGCATTGATGAAGGTATTTCAACATGATTCAGTTGCTGAATCTGCGTTGCAAACTGTTTTTTTCCTTTGAAGATGATTTACAAACAAACATATCCAATGTTTGCTTATCTTTTGAATCTAGAAAAGATTGGCCAGGTGCATCTGCCTGTTGAGATCCCCGTTGCCTAAATTTTGCTTTATTATCTGAGTTTTGACATGGTATTTAAATGTTTACATCTGAGGCATGGGGGAATCTTTTTTTCTATTTCCAAAATTTGGCTCATTTTTGAAAGCTAGCCTTTCTTGAAAAAATTAGATCCAGTACTCAAAATGTGATATGCCTGGCATGCAAATCTCAAAAAACAATACATTTGCTGTGTTAAAATTTTAAAGAGAGTAGAATCCTAATATATCACAAAATCACCAGACCAACTCCATGGGGCCGTGATGGCGAACCTATGGCATGTGTGCCACAGGTGGCACACGGAGCCATATTGGTGGGCACGTGAGCGTTGCCCTAGCTCAGCTCCAGCATGCATGTGTGTGCTGGCCAGTTGATTTTTGGGCCTTCTGGGCCCAACAGAAGTCGGCAAACGGGCTGTTTCCGGCCTCCAAAAGGCCTCTGGGGAGGTGGGGAAAGCTGTTTTTGCCCTCCCCAGGCTCCTAGAAAGCCTCTGGACCCTGGGGAGGGCAAAAAACGGGCCTACCTGGGCCCACCATGCCATCACATGCCAAAAGCAGGGGGAGCATGGGGGGGGTCGCACACACACATGCATGGGGGGGCAGGGCGCATAGAATTATGGGCGTGAGCACACACGCGCATGACCACCCCACACTCCCCCAGCTTTTGGCAAAAAGGTTAGCCATCACTGCCATAGGGTCTTTAAATCGGTTTGAAAGTGCTTGATTTTATTAGGTGAACCAGTTTGGCATTCAAATTGAATTGAAAGGCCAATCCAATCCAATTACATTTAAGACAAATTTTCACACCAAATCTTCTTCTTTAAAACTCCAGCAATGAAGCACCCACAACTTCTGGTGGTAAGCTGTTCCACTGGTTAATTGTCCTCAATGTTAGGAAGTTTCTCCTTAATTACAGGTTGCTTCTCTCCATGATCAGTTTCCCTTTCATTGCTTCTTGTCCTGCCTTCAGGTGGCTGTGGCAGCCCTTCAAATACTGGAAGACTGCTATTATATCCCCCCCTAGTCCTTCTTTTCTCTAGACTGGCCATACCTAAATCCTGTAATCATTCTTCATATGTTTTAGTCTCCAGGGTTTTAATCATCTTAGTGGCTCTTCTCTGCACTTTTTCCAAAGTCTCAATTTTCTATGTCTTTTGTAATGTGGTGAACAAAATTGGATGCAGTGTTCCAGGTGTGATCTATCAACAAAACATAATTGAAATAAGCAGGTATGGAGAAAGTTAATTCTTTGTGTTATATTGTTGCAATATATATTGAGGCACTCACGATTGTAACTGTAACTCTTTATTGCTTCACCATGTAACTGTAACTGTAACTGTAACTGTAACTGTAACTGTAACTGCTCAGCTAGAAAATGGCAGTTGACAGCTCTTATATATGAATAGCTCAACTGCTCTAGCCAATGGCTAACAAAAGAATCTTCCGTGCTGATGACGTCATCGGTTTCATCCAATAACAACACTACAACTATAACTAAACCCTGCTAGACATAACACCCCTCCCCTCCTGGATCACGCAAGTGTAATCGTTAAGGTACGCCGGGCGCCTGCGTGTTCGTCCGGACCGTCGTAGTTCAGGTTCGATAACAGGTGCAGCTGATTCCGGCATGGATGGAGAAGATAACGGTACAATTGACGGATTGTTCCCTGTAACAGACTTCCCAGCCTCGGACTCTATCTCAGGTAAGTTGAGCCACTGCTGGCTCCTTGCGGCGCCCCGCGTTAAGTTTTCATTTGCTTGTGAACTTAACGTTGGACCTGGCATGGAACTTAGCGTTGTTGTAGGTGACGGACTCACAGCCTCTGCCGGGTTTTTTTCGAACACACGTTTCCGTAACTGGTCCACATGTCTCCGCCAGGTTCTGCCATCAACGAGCAGGACCCTGTAAGAACAGGGACCCGTTACTTGTATAATCTGTCCTGGCAACCAACGGGGATCACCCCCATAGTTTCGCGCAAAAACCTGGTCCCCCTCTTTAAACACCCTAGGTGGCAAATAGCCTGTTGTAGGCCGGTCTGAGTTGTATAAAGGATGCAGACGGTCAAGTGTTGTTCGTAATCGGCGGCCCATCAGCATCTCAGCAGGACTTCGATTAGTGCTTGAACAAGGTGTTGTATGCTGAGAAAGCAAATATGTGGAAACCCTTTCTTGCCACCCCCTTGGTCCTAGTCTTGCCAGCGCTTCTTTAGTTGACCTCACAGCCCTTTCTGCCAAACCATTACTGGAGGGACAATAAGGGGCAATCTGGGCATGGCGGATTCCTAAACTGGCCAGGAACATTTGAAATGGGGCGGATGTCAGTTGTGGGCCATTATCGGACACTAGAACATCCGGAAGGCCATGTGTAGCAAATAATTTATTTAAAACACGTATGACGGCCTCTGATGTGATGGATGGCATTATTTCTACCTCGACCCACCTTGAATATGCGTCCACCACAATAAGGAACTGGCGGCCCATAAAGGGGCCAGCAAAATCCAGATGGACCCGCGACCATGGAGCCCTCGGGAATTCCCACTCCCTGGGAGGGACAGATGGTGCTGCTGGCCTCGACAGCTGACAAGTTTGGCATTTGGCTACCCAATCTGTTATATCCTGGTCGATCCCTGGCCACCACACATAACTTCGGCTAAGCCCCTTCATCCTGATTATACCAGGGTGGGCTTCATGTAAACACTCCAAAATAGAGTTACGCAATTTTGGGGGAATAACGACCCTATGACCCCACAACAGGCAACCCCGGAGGACAGAAAGTTCGTGTTGCCTGAGCCGGAACGGCTTGAACTGCTCGGCCACTTGTCCTAATGGCCACCCCCTTGCCACCCAGTCGAGCACCTGTGCTAACAAAGGGTCAACTGCCGAGTGGGCGGCAACGTCGGTTGCAGATAATGGAATGGGCAGCTCCTCTACAAGGAGGACAGAAGAGGTCGGTGCAGGGTCCTCCACGGGCAAGGGCAACGGACAGCGGCTCAACGCATCAGCATGCGCGATCTCCTTACCCGGGCGGTATCTTAAGGTGTAATTATAAGCCGCTAAAAACTCAGTCCAACGGGACATCCTGGGGGAAAGTATCAAAGGAGTCTGATGGTCCCCAGCTAAGAGCCCCAGAAGAGGCTTATGGTCAGTGACCAAATCAAAATGGCGGCCATAAATATAATCGTGGAACTTCTTTACAGAAGCCACTGCGGCTAGGGCCTCCCTGTCTAATTGACTATACTTGCGTTCCGTGGAGGAAAGAGTACGGGAATAATAGGCAATAGGTGCTTCTATTCCATTTGGAAACCTATGGCTAAGGACGGCACCGATGCCAAAAGGGGATGCATCCGCTGTTATTACCAGAGGAAGGTGAGAACTATATTGTACCAGGACAGCAGAGGATGTTAGTAGGTCTTGGACAGCCCGGAAAGAACGGTTTTCAGCCTCGCCCCAGGACCATGGCGTATTTTTGTCCAATAAACGGTGAAGAGGCTCCACCAAGGTGGCTTTATGGGGTAAAAATACGCTATAAAAATTGAGGAGCCCCAGAAAAGCTTGCAGGTCAGCTTTGCACGTTGGAACAGCAGCGTTTTTTATAGCTGCCACCTTTGAGGGAGTAGGGTGGATACCTGTGGCGTCAATTAAATACCCCAAAAATTCAACCTGTGGCACACCAATAAAACATTTAGATTTCTTCAATTTTAGGCCAGCCTTCCTGAAGCGTAGAAGGACAGCCCTAACACGGCCAATGAGCTCATCCTGCGAAGACGCAGAGATGAGCATGTCATCAAAATATGGGACTACCCCGGGAAGTCCTTGTAGGAGGCGCTCCATTAAATTTTGAAATATCCCCGGGGCTATGCTAATACCGAATTGAAGCCGTTTGCACTTAAAAGCTCCCCGGTGGGTTACAATCGTTTGGGCTTCAGCTGAGGCCTCATCCACCGGAAGCTGCTGATACGCTTGAGCTAGATCAAGCTTAGCAAAAATGGAGCCTGAACCCAGGGAGTGGAGCAAGTGTTGGACTACTGGAACAGGATAGGGGTTAGCTTGTAATGCCCAGTTCAACGTACTTTTAAAATCCGCGCAGATGCGGACCGACCCGTCCGGCTTGATAGGAATGACTATTGGGGTTTCCCACTGGGAATGGTCAGTGGGTTCTAAAACTCCCTGGGCAATCAACTTATCTAACTCGGCTTCTACTTTTGGACGGAGGGCCAAAGGTACTCTCCGGGGTTTGAGCCTAATAGGGGCAATGTTCGGGTCTAAGTTCAGTGAAATTGGGGAACCCACATATTTACCCAGAGCATCGTTGAACACATCTTTGAATTCGCTAGCCAACATATCAAAATCGCTCTCTGATGATGTTGAGTGGATGCCTGTGATGGCAAGGCCAAAGGATCCAAACCAATCTAAGCCTAACAGACTAGGAAGGGAGCCATCCACCACGATTAAGGGGAGGCGGCCAGTGAAACTATCATATTCAACTAGGAAACGACCGTGCCCAATAATTGGAATCCGGTTTCCCTGATAATCTCTAAGCTTAACAGGGCTGGGGTGAAGCTGATTTTTCTGCAGGCTAGGCATCATTTCTTTGATGGTGGTCCAGGAGACAATGGATTTAGATGAGCCGGTGTCGACTTCCATCCTGCAAGGAACACCTTCAATCTTCACAGTCAGGAAAAGCTTGTTTGAACGTGTAGTGGAGTCACGGTGGGTCGTTAGTTCAGTGACCCGCCGGCCGCGGAATATCGCAAAACAGTCTTCACTGATGACTGCAGCACCTTTTGGTCGAAACGTAGATTGCCTCTGGCGACCCAAGCGGCAGACACGTGCGAGGTGGCCAAGTTTGCCGCAACGTCGACATGTCACTGAACGGAACCGGCAAGTTGTTCGGGGGTGCTGATCACCGCAGCTGAGGCAGGAGGATGGAGGAGGTTTTTTCCTGGTTGGCCGCCCACCTTTTTCAGTAAACGTCTTAATACGACTGACTTCCGGCTCTTCTTCATCGTCTTCAGAAACAACCTCCTCACTATGGACAGCCGTGGCTTGATTAGCAGAGGGATGGCACTTACAGATGTCCGCGGCGGATTTATCTGACATCTCCGCCGCCTGAGCCTCTTCCATGGCCATTTGAAGATCTAGGGTTTTTTTCGCTAACAAACGCTTCTGTAAGTTTATGTCGCGTACCCCACAAACCAACTGTTCGACCAAAGCGTCCTCTAAATCCCGGAACTCGCAGTCGATGGCGGCTGTACGCAGACGGGCGACATAATGGTTGACAGGCTCCCCTTCCTCTTGTAGTATTTGCCTTAAATTAAACCTACGGGCTATACAAGACGGAATTGGAGCGTAGTGAGCCCTCAATTTCTGCCTCAAAACTTCCCAGGAAGTAGTATGCACAGGCTGGGGAGCAAGTAACGCTCGGGCAGTAGCAAATACCTCAGGGCCACAAGCATTTAAAAAATGAGCCCTTTTCTTACTGCTTGAGAGGTCAGTAAAATCGTTGGCTTCTAAAAAACATTCAAACCTCTCTTCGTACGCATCCCACGTCTCAGCAGCAGCATTGTATGGGGCAAAAGTTGGAGGAGCCATTTCATGGATTGGTGGTTTGTGTATTAGGTGACTCACACTCTTTTAATGCTGCTTCTGCTCTCAATTCACCTCAGGAACATCCCACCTTCGTCGCCAGTGTTATATTGTTGCAATATATATTGAGGCACTCACGATTGTAACTGTAACTCTTTATTGCTTCACCATGTAACTGTAACTGTAACTGTAACTGTAACTGCTCAGCTAGAAAATGGCAGTTGACAGCTCTTATATATGAATAGCTCAACTGCTCTAGCCAATGGCTAACAAAAGAATCTTCCGTGCTGATGACGTCATCGGTTTCATCCAATAACAACACTACAACTATAACTAAACCCTGCTAGACATAACACTTTGTTATCCTAGACTAAGGCAAACTTAGAATTACAAAGGTCATCACTAACAACTCTTATAGAAAATGACAGGATTGAGTTTCTGCATTATTATCATTGCTGCTGAATCAACTGAGTTGGAGTAGAAGATCTCCAAGCAGGCATGAAATGCTCCCAGTTCAGACCGGATCGCCCGATCCGGTAGTGATGGTGGCGGGTGGTTTGGAGAACCGGTAGCAAAAGTCCCTGCGCGCCCCCCCCCCCATGCCCAGCTGAGCTGCGTGATTATCAGAGAGGTTTTTTTTTTTACTTTTAAAAGCATTTTTTCTATAACCTCTTCGGCCGAAAAAATACTTTTAAAAGTAAAAAAAAAGTCTCTGATAATCACATGGCTCAGCTGGGATCGTCAGAGGCTTTTAAAAGCATTTTTTCTACAACCTCTTCAGCCAAAGAGGTTGTAGAAAAAAATACTTTTAAAAGCCTCTGACGATCCCAGCTAAGTTGCCTGATTGTCAGAGGCTTTTAAAAGCATTTTTTAACAACCTCTTCAGCCGAAGAGACTAGAAAAAAAGCTTTTAAAAGCCTCTGATGATCCCAGCTGTGTTGCCTGATCGTCAGAGGCTTTTAAAAGCACTTTTTTCTACAACCTCTTTGGCCGAAGAGGTTGTAAAAAAAATGCTTTTAAAAGAAAAAAAAGCCTCTGACAATCAGGCAACTCAACTGGGATCATCAGAGCCTTTTAAAGAGGCCGAAGAGGTTGTAGAAAAAATGCTTTTAAAAGTAAAAAAAAAAAAAAAGTTGTCCACGCCCACCCAGTCACATTACACACACACACACCAAGCCATGCCCACAGAACTGGTAATAACAAATTTTACATTTCACCACTGCCTCCAAGGTACCTTCCAACTTTGTTATTCTGTTATTCATACATTTTTCAGAAATAGCCATCAAAAGGTAACCTATCATAAGTGAAAGGATATCAACATGAGGTAGAATGGCAGAAAGCACTTACATAGACTCTTCAGTTGATGTTCATGTAGAGGAATTCCTGTGTAATAAAAATATTATTCATGTCAACCAAAGACTATTTAGGCACCATTTCTGCAAATAAGATTATGCGGTCAAGAAAACAGAGGCTTCTGCAAGACTAGTTTCCTAGAATAAAATTATAAGGCCTAATTTTCATTCTAGGAAATGGAATTGGCAAAATTGTAATTGAATGTTACTTTCTTAATTAAGGTCATCCAACGCATCCAAAGCTATGCAAAAGAAAATTAATGTTCTGCTATCACCAATCCCAAAAGCATTTAATGACTAGTACTGTAGAGTAGAGTGAAGCTTTCAGTTTCCCCCACATGACCGTCAGTTTAAAAAAATAAAGATTTCAGCAGTCCAAGCTGCTAAAGCCATTGGTTCAAATTTTTCTTTTAATAAAGTGTTGTATCCTCTTACAACAATAGCAAGGATTAAAATCTTGTTCTGGCTCCAGAGGATATGGAAAACAAGTTTTGTTCCATCCAGCTTGGTTTCTGTTATATACCGATTGGATTATGGAAATTCATTCCTTGAAGCTTTGCAATATGTTTACAGATTTCATAGAACAACAACAAAATTGCAGCAGTGAAGAATTAAATTTCCCACTGGTGGGGATGGAACCCCTTAACCTTGTCAGGAATTACTGTTGTAATCCAAATGTAAGGCTACATGCATTCATCTGGATGCCCACCAAAAGTCAAAATAGCATGAATATCTGGGTACTTAAGAAATTAGCTTAAATCTTTTAACCATTATCCAATTTTGCTAAATACCTTCAGGAATATCCTCTATAATCCTATAACTCAAGTGGATTTAGGCAAGTCCTCCTAACTTTTGATAGAGATTCTGCCCGAGCGGAGATATCCGCATTTGTCATAAATAGGTAATTTATCAGCCCCATAGAGATTTCTGTTTTGAGGTCGTACAAAAATCTTTGAATTTCAGAGTTCAGGGTGGAACAGAAAGCACTGTGAATCCAGGAATGGATCAAATGTTGATCTCACATTCAGTAGGTTAGAACTGAATTGGCAATGAGTTTGGCTCATTTCGTCATAATCCCAATTTGAGAATGGAGGTGGAGGAGGAGGAGGAGGAAGGAGGAGAAGGAGAAGGAGAAGGAGAAGGAGAAGGAGAAGGAGAAGGAGAAAAAATAATTTACACTGGAATTTTTAACTTTCACATCCAGTTGAAGGACAGTAATGTTTCTTTGAAGTCACACTGCTCCAGAATTGGGCTTGCACCATAAATTGGCACATGCTTCCAAAAGAGAAGTGCAGCAAGATCTGTCATGTCTTAATCAGCAGGTATCTGTGGCAATACTTCAGCCAATTGCAAAGTGATCATAGGTTGTTGGGAAAAGAAAGACATTAATTAAAACTCAGATTAATTTAATCAGGTGCCTCCCGACTCACAGATCACCCAGGGAGTCATGCAATAATATGAGGATATTAGTAGCTAAGGAAAATGTACAACAGGACAGGTTAGGGACTTTAGTAACCTTAGTCAATTCTGCCTTTATTTAAGAGAGTTAAATCCCAAGTTTCTGCATTTTAGCATCAAGTTGCATCAAGCATCATGGCCTCTTTCCATCTAGATAGGAGGAAGTATGAGATAGGAAATCTTTCCAGTGGGGTACCATCCTGCCTTGATAGCCCTTCCTTCCTGGCATTAATTTAATAGGATCCTATTAAATTCATTCAACTTGCTCAACAGTTTTTAAGATCCACAATTTCTATTTTTAATACTTTGGTAGAAAATAGAAATCCATTGTGAACACAGAGCATTCAGTACTGAAGATGCCCTGATTAGCAACCTTTTTGTCAACTTACCTTGATTTTTAGAAAACTCAATCCTAACTCCCCCCCCCCCCCGCATCTCCTCTCTCAAACTTCTTTTCCTTTATGTGTCATGACTTTAAAATGGTAAGTCAGAGAGCTTCCGATCAGGATGTTAGTTAAATGAGACAAGGAACAATTTCAGCCATTTTTCTGCAACCTATTCCTCTTATTTGTAATGGCGCTGCAATCTTTAGCTGAAATGTGTGCAAACATTTTAAACAAAATCACATTAACCAAAATCAGATTGCCCTTGTTCTGCCTCTTTTCCTCCACACTCAAACAGAGAAGAAAGGTACCAGGCTGCTCTCCCTCACTTTCCCACACACAACTCTAAAGGAAGTGAAAGCTCTTTTGCAACTAAACAAGTTTCTACATCTTGCAAACATATATTAGCCTGTCATCACAAAGCGCTACCCTGCAAAGAGAAAAGATTCATGAGAAACGTCCACCTTTTCACATTTATATTTTAATTTTCTTTAATGCATGCCCATATACGATGACGAACTCTGGTTGCACTTACATCAATCTTGGATTGATGCCCTGTCAATGATTCTCATAACATTAGAGCTTTTTGGCAAATCAGTTTATTACAGAATCTTACAGAATAATAGAGTTGGAAGAGACCTTGTAGGTCATGTAGTCCAACCCAGGGGTGAAATCTAAAAATTTTCGCTACTGGTTCTGTGAGCATGGCTTAATTAGTGGGCAGGGCTTGTTGGTCAGGTGACTGGGTGGGCGTGGCTTGTTGGTCAGGTGGGTGTGGCCAAGTCGACGTCACTTCTTTGCCCTTTTTTAACCTACAAAACACACCACCTCACAACTGGCTCACCCATAATGTAAAAGCAGCTGTGCTAGACCCAAAATGGCCCCTGCAACAAGCAGGAACCTCACACAGCCACAAAAAGCCCAAAAAAACAAGTTTCACTCTTTACAGACACAAAATTCCACATACAGCTTTGTGAGATTTTGTGTGTTTGTGTAGTTACAGAAACACACAAAATCTCAGAAAGCTGCACAAATATTATTTTATTTTATTTTTATTTTTATATAAAAGCAGCTAAATTTAAAACTTCCTAAACTTTAAATGGCTAGGTCTAAAAAAAGAACAAAAAAACCCCCCAATTAGCTATTTTTTTTAAAGCTCCCAAAGGGGAAAAAAACTTACCCAATTGAAGGGACAAGGCAGGCAGGCAGGCAGGCAGATAGAGCTGCTCACCGATGAGTTTGATTGCAGGCAGGGAGATTCAGTTGTTTGCTGATGCAATGGATTGCAGGGATTACAGCAAGTGAAGCAAGGCAGGCATTGCAACCAGCAGCTCAGGATTCAGTCCAAACAGCGAAGGTAAGCAAGCTGGAGGCTGGGGGGAAGGGATTTTTGCTACCGGTTCTCCGAGCTGGCCGCTGCCATTGCTACCTACTCGCCGGAGCCGGGAGCATTTCACCCCTAGTCCAGCCCCCTGCTCAAGCAGGAGACTCTATCTCAGGAGTCCTCAAACTTTTTAAACAGGGGGCCAATTCACAGTCCCTCAAACTGTTGGGGGGCCGGATCGGCTGGGAGGGTGTGGCCAGGTGGTCATGTTGCTCTTTTGGTTGCCTTTTCTTTTTACTAGATCGTTTTTTCAGTTGTTTAGGAGTCTAGCGGTCCACTTCAGGAAACTCAGTTTTGCTGCAATTCTTCTCAGCCCCAAAGAGCTTGAGAAATCTCTCTCTGTCTCTGTCTCTGTCTCTGTCTCTGTCTCTGTCTCTGTCTCTCTCTCTCTCTCTCTCTCTCTCTCTTTCCTTCTCTCTCTCCCCCTCT